GAGAGAGAGAGAGAGAGAGAGAGCACAGCACACTGTAGCGCGAGACACATCATCGTTACAAAAGGCGCACGCACAAGAAATAGCCCCTTTGCGTTTGTACACCTGTATTACTATCTCCATTTATAATAACCCGCGCGAGGGAATATATCAGGATCTCTGCGTACGCAGCTCAAACAGAGGCTTTACTGTTCAATCGTGATACCCTCTTCTTCCTCGGCAGGCATATGTATTTGGCATCTTTTCTTCCAGTAAGCACCAATGCATGCATGCACCCGCCTCCCTGCGCTCTCAAATAGATGGTGCAAGTAAAGATGTCCAAATCTTCCGCAGACCCTCTGTCTGGTGTAGAAAGCGCTTCTCAGTCGCACTATTTTCAGGTAAGATTTTTGGGGGATTTGAATATGATCTCATAAATGGTTAATTTCCTGCTACTTGTTGTTGAGCAGTCGTGCATCGAAGCGCTTCATATATCCGCAGAGCGCTACAGCTACACAATCTGCCCGTGTAATATCGCGCTTTTAATCAGTCACGCGCTGTTGTTTTTAATGAGCGGAGGCGAGATGTTGATAAGATGTTTTGATGCTCCTCCACCATCCGCGAAACTCGATTACTGTTTTTCCTCCGCCCTGAGATTTCCCACCGCTACCAAGGCCTCGTCCTTCAGGCCGGGAATCTGTAGACACAGGGTTCATTTGTCAGTCTAAACACTTGTTTTCTTTGTGTGATTAGTGCGGATAAACGGCTTTAAAATCTCTCAAAATTCCCTTATGGTGAGCCCTCACTAGTCATGGGTCTCACCTGTAGCCAACCAAAGTCTCACGGCCACCTGCCCTATCCCTGACTGAAATACCAGAATAAGCTAGTGGCTGTGTTTTTGACGATGGTAGCTGGTTTCTAACAGGTCTGAGTTGGCTATTAGCTGTCCAAAATGGCCATTAGCTGGTAGACCATCATGGACCAGCAACAAACCGGATATTAGCTAGTCAGACCAGTTTAAGTCGGTCAAGAGGATTTTTGAGAAATAGTGTCGTCAGCTAAAAATCAACTTGTGTCAATTAATGAGCATCTTAGACCACGTTTACAAAACACAACTATTATCATAAACTGCATTTTCCACAAAGTGCATCTTATTTATAAGGCATCTTGTGTCTGATGTTACTGTAACCGGGTGACTGTTTGTTTTGATGTGGTCGTATCCATATAGCTACCACGAAAGTTACCGAAGCGCAAAGGTCGTTTTAAACGCTCAGATGGCAGCACCTCCTCTGACACCACCTCCAGCTTCATCAAACGACAGGTAAAACTCCGCATGATCAGTCGTCGCATCCATATCGTTAATCATACAGATGCTACATATTGTTTCTGTCATGAAGTTTTCATGTGGGATTGTTTGAGTGGTTACTCTATGTTTATCACTTCTTTAGTAGTTGTAGAGGTTGTGTAGTTTGACCAGGTGATGTGGTTCTCTTGAGGCTGAAATCAGCAGGTGTCTTATCAATCCTTTTCACATTTTCGGGGCCCTCAGAAGCGGAATCGTCATAGTTGGGTGAACTTCTATAGTGGTGAATGGAAACTACAACCAATATTTTTTATTTTTTTGCATCTTCATTTGCCCCAATAGCAAAAGCAAATATCCACGATAGCTTTCTATGACTTTACAAGAGAGAAAAAAAAAATATTGAGAGATTTATGTTGCTCAGAATAGAGACAGATGTCAAATTTCCATCACTCCCTGAGCCATTGTATTAAAAACACTGTAATTTAATACCAAGGTAGGAAAACACAAAGTGGTATAAATTTACAATAAAAGAATGAAAATGTAAAAAACTTTGCTAGATTTACAACATGTTTTGACGACGCGAGTCTTCTTATCTTTTGTACATCAAATAATATTTTTTTATTTAATTAAAAATTATTTTTCTATTCTTTACATGTTAGAAACTGTATCACAATTTTATTGTGTAATATATTATATAATTTGTAATGTTTCATAATATATTGTAATATTAAAACATACAGTAATGCATATAATAAAATCAATAAAGAGGCATTTTTCATAATACTTTTAATATACCTTTGAATACATTAATATGATATATATATAACACATACACGTATATTAAACATTATGTAATGTAATATGTACCATATATATATATATATATATATATATATATATGGATGGATGTATATTAAATGCCATGTTTATTTCAAACTCATTTACTGTAGCATTAGTTTATCACATGTAATCAACTCTACAAGATTTTAGTTTTAGTTGTAAAAATATATAAATATATTATAATAAATAACATAACGATACTTGATAAAAAAAATACACTACTTTGTTTAGAATTTTTTCTTGAGCATTTTCTGAAACATTCAGTTGGCATTCAAGTATGGTGTATTTGTGGTGTATTTCACCTTCAATAAAAACCAAACTTCATTGTTCAGATGTTATGAAAAGTTGTTGCAAGGTTACATAATTTTAAAACCGTTAAATTTCCACACTCTGAAAAACTATTGCCAGTTGACTGCTGGCTGTTGCTGTTATAAGTTTCACAAGACGTCTTTGTAAAAGTCTCTTGTATCTGGGTGACTATAAGTGTCCTTGGATTTCCTTTTAATTTATTCAGTTTTGACATATCTAAAAAGCTCGGGTAATGTGTTATGTGTAACCATGCAGCCTACCCTAATGTCACCGTCTCCTTTGTGCTGTAATCCAAGACGTGGCCGCTAGATGGAGGCAGCTCCATTACTCTCCTGCAGCATCTTCATGTGTTATTTAAGAGAATCTTTTGAAAACACCAAAAGGAAAAATTAGGTTATGACAAGCACACTGAATTTCTCCATGGCACACCCTCATTACATCAATTAATTTCCTCTGTAATGAGTGACCCAAATTCTTCAGTTTGTTCTGCGCACACCATATAAACTCATTCGTCTGTGAAATGTGACACCCTTAGATACCTACTCCAGATTCATCTGTGCAGAAGCAAAGACAAGTTTACAGACAAGGTTTTAAAGGGTATTAACAGGGACATTGACTATCTGGGCGTCCGTCTGCCATGCAGCGTTTAATGTGTTAACAGAGAGTTTGTGTGTGTGTGTGTGTGTGTGTGTGTGTGTGTGTCTGTCTGTGTGTGTGTGTGTGTGTGTGTACCTGTTTTTCTATTCTGGTGGGGACTTAAACCTGATGGGGACTCGTGTCACGGTGGGGACCTAAATTGAGGTTCCCACGGGTAAACAAGCTAATAAATCAATTTTTTGAAAATCTAAACATGCACAAAGTTTCCTGTAAGGGGTAGGTTTAGGTGTAGGGTTGGTGTAGGGCAATAGAATATACGGTCTGTACAGTAGAAAAACCATTATGCTTATGGAGAGTCCCCACAAGGATAGCAAACCAGACGTGTGTGTGTGTGTGTGTGTGTGTGTGGAAACAAGAGACGGCATATTGAGCGGGTTGTTAATTTTCATGACCAGGAGGTCGTGGCAGTTTCACTGTTCTTCCAGAAATATCACAGTCCCTAAAATATTAAAATAGTAAAATATTAATGGAGCTCATTTGGAGTGGAGCCTGCTGGTGAATGTTAAATCCTCACGCTCTGTCTATGTTCATAAAAACTGTGCTGTGATGGCGTACCTGAAAATAAGCATCTGTGACGTACATCGTGGAATCCTTACATACATAAGACAGTGGTAAATGTACTGTAAAGGGATGGTTTACAGGAGGCGGTGCTGTATTGTGAATATAGTCATGGCTGAAAGCAGGGCCGTTTTAACCATAGGGCTAGGCGAGGCTGAAGCCCCGGGGCCCGAGCAAGGAGGGGGCCCGTGATTGGCTGTGGAGTAGATTGACTGGAGCACCGATCGCCAAAGCCACCACGCCCCCCACTTATTAGCGCTGTTATTTAGTTGAGCTTTTCCGTAAATTCCATGCATTACCATTTGAAATTGAAATGTAAAATCTTACTTATTATAAATGTACCGTATGATTCGGAATAAGACAAAAAAAATAAATATATATATATAGAGGGTACAACGGGGTAAAAGGTGCCTTTGATATTATTTTCATCTAAACCACTAGATGGCACAAAAACGTGGCGTAGCACTTTCCAAAACATCCGTTTTTCAAGATGCACATGTATATTTGTCTGATCTTTGACGCGATCGCGTGCAGCAGTGCAAAGTTGATTCTGTGCTTACTTGATCTAATATTTTATGTTTTTAAAAATTTTGTAGATTTAAGTAGCAAATGAGAATCGCTAAAATTAATGCATGTATCTTGAGACAAAGGTCTTTGTGATTTTCAGTTTTGTTTTAGATAATTAAAGCAACAGTTTTTAAATAACGAAAGAATATGTAAAAGTATGGTATTTTAGCCCCCTGCTGTTGGGGCTAAAAATTGCAATTAAGTGAAAATTTAAATTGATATTAAATGCAGTTAGCTGAACTTTAGAGTGCCTTTTTGACCCGCTAAAGTAGGACTTTTAAGTACGTCTTTATATGTAATTTCATAATTAATTCTGTTGTCTTTGAAATATGGTTAAAAGTGTACTGCTGAATGTACTCACAAACATTTATGATAAACTAAAATATACTTTCATGTCATTTCTATTTAAAATTGTACATCATGTATTTAAATATACTGGCAATTACTATGATGAATGATAAAGTTAGTACATTTAAAACACATATGTGACCATGGACCACAAAACCAGTCATAAGGGTCAATTTTTTGAAATTGAGATTTATACATCATCTGAAAGCCGAATAAATAAGATTTCCATTGATGTATGGTTTGTTAGAATAGGACAATATTTGGCCGAGATACAACTATTTGAAAATCTGGAATCTGAGGGTGCAAAAAAATCTAAATATTGAGAAAATCACTTTTAAAGTTGTCCAAATGAAGTTCTTAGCAATGCATATTACTAATCAAAAATTAAGTTTTGATATATTTACGGTAAGAAATTTACAAAATATCTTCATGGAACATGATCTTTACTTAATATCCTAATGATTTTTGGCAAAAAATCATTTTCTTGATTAAGTGGCCATTTATTACATTACTATTAAGTACAGTTTATAAAAATAGACTTTATTTGAAGAATACTGCAAGTGCACATCCAATAGAGTTAAACGCATTTATTTTTCGCAAGAGGAACACTTGTGGAAAAAGAAAAGGGGTTTTTATCTTTTAAGGAAAAAAAAGTTTTTAAATTTTATTATTTTTTTTACTTATAGTTGCTGCATGATCATTGGCTTGATCCAGAATAGGTGGATCTAGCCTAATGTTCTATAAACACACGTGAGAGAGCAGGTTGATGTTGTGATGTCATTAGCATGAATAAGGGGGCGGGATCTATGATGTGAGATGGCGATGAAGGTCAGAGAAACTGATTATTAGTGAGTCTGTACATACAGCAGAGCAGCACATGCATGGGACGGAGCTGCTGATGGAAAAACATGAATTCATAGACAACACTTACAACATACACCAGTCAGGGTAAATGCTTTGCTTTGATTTGCTCTTGAATCATCAAATCAGGTGATCTGATTACTATTAAGTACAGTCTGGCTATTAACTGTTAATTTAATAATTTAAAAGGTGTTTTGTTATGGATGTTGTTATGAATAGTATTGATCAGTGTTCTTTTTTAAGTGTGCTTGTTATCATTTTAATTTATGTGTGCATATATCAAAGTAACTTGCATGTTATTATTGCATATTAAAGGCTTTGTATTATGAATAGGATATTTGCGACTTGTTTCCAGTTTGACTAGATCAAATTCATATTTCTTAGGCAAGCAAACTTTTCTCTTTAGGATCCTTAATCCAGGGCATAAGAAGGTCCAAAAGTAACTTTATGGCACACCTGCATAAATATCGCTCATCAGCAACGAAAGTGTATTTTGTATTCATTTTTTAAATCCAATTATATATTATTATATTATATTTGACTGTATTTTTTATACACATATTATTTGACTATTTGTTTTTGTCTTGTCTTGGTTGAAGTGAAAGTATGGCTGTGTTATTTTAAGATCAGTGAGATACTAATATATAATTTTTGTTAATTTATTAAATAGATTTTACTTTTATATTTTCTGCTTTTATGTAAATTTTAGTTAATGTTTTAGAAATGTTGTTGTGTGTTTTTTTTTATATGTCTGTATAGTTTTGATTCATTTTTATTTTAGTTTTAGTTATTTTAGTATGTTAAGTTCGACTAAATGAAAATAAGAAATTTCAGTTTTTTTCCAAGCAATGGAAATGTTTTTATGGTTTTATTTTTAT